ATCCACCTGCCTTGGCCTCCCAAAGTGATGGGATTATAGGCTTGAGCCCACCGCGCCTGGCCCGTTTCCTTATTTTTAATCCTATGAGATGTCCTGTTCACTGAATTAGATAACCCAGGAGGAGGAATTTGTTTCTTTTCACTGACAGTATGGGTTCCCTATATAACGGGTTATTATGTAGTGTCAGAACTTCTAATCTTTCACAATCTTCTAATCTTTCACATAGAGTTATAGATATACAAAGTCAAAATGGGTCTCCTTCACTTTTTTTTTTTAATTTTTATTTTTTTTGAGATGGAATCTTGCTCTGTCACCCAGACTGGAGACCTCCACTTCCCAGGTCGAAGCATTTCTCCTGCCTCAGCCTCCCGAGTAGCTGGGATTACAGACTTGTGCCACCACGCCTGGCTAACTTTTGTATTTTTAGTGGAGATGGGATTTCACCATGTTGGCCAGGCTGGTCTTGAACTCCTGACCTCAAGTGATCCACCCACCTCAGCCTCCCACAGTGCTGGGATTACAAGTGTGAGCTACCGCTCCTGGCCTCCTTCACTTATTAAGACAAGCAGAATGCTTCATCTATGGACAAAAGTGATACTCTCCTTGGGGAGGTCTTCTGATATTGGTTCTATTAAGGTGCAAAATAGGAGAGAAACTTAGCATCAGCTTCTACAGATTTGGAGTATCTTTGTGTCCTTAACTAAAATCTTTAACTTCTTTCACTTTTCAGATGGTCCAAAGAGAACACAAAAAAAAGGGGAAAAAATGTCAACATGCTCGTTCCCCCACCTTGTTTTGTCAGCCTTCCATTTTCCTTGTCCACAACTGTGTATTTAAATAAAAGATGAATTAAACATCCTTGGGTGTTTGGAAAACAAAAGCAAAAACACAAAAATCTTTATACCAGATAGGGAGTGCATTCCTTATGCAAATTGTTGACGTAAAAATAGTAGCTGCTTCTTTTAATTTACAGTTCAGTTGTCTGTGAACTTCCAGGTATAAGAAAATATTAGTTTAAAATTAGTCTTAATTATGTTAAAACTCCTTACCTACTGAAGATGAAATGGCTTAATGGCCATATTTCTCGAAAATAAAGAAAAGAAGGGGGAGGAGGAGGAGGAAGAAGAAGAAGAAGACAACATACAACTACCTTTTTCTCCAGCCTAGAGAGTTTCTTTTTTTCTTTTTCTTTTTCTTTTTCTTTTTTTTTGGAGACAGAGTCTCGCTCAGTCACCCAGGCTGGAATACAGTGGCATGATTTCAGCTCACTGCAATCTCCGCCTCCCAGGCTCAGGTGATTCTTATGCCTCAGCCTCCCCAGTAGCTGGGATTACAGGCACCCACCATCATGCCTGGCTAATTTTTGTATTTTTCGTAGAAATCGGGTTTCACCATGTTGGCCAGGCTGGTCTTGAACTCCTGACCTCAGATGATCTGCCCGCCTCAACCTCCCAAAGTGCTGGGATTACAGAAGTGACCCACCACACCGACTAAGAGTTTCTTCTTGGCAGGACAGCGCAAAGCACTCTCCAGGGAGAGGAGACAACTTTGGATCTTTTGATACTGTAGCAGGGGATGGAAAAGATGAATTCTTCTTCCTTAAATCAACATCTGGCAGAGTCTCCACTGAGGACCAGGGCAGCTCAGCCGCTGACCCCAGGGCAAAGCTCTGTGTTGCTGTTTTGTTTGGGCTTTGGGGGGTAGAGAGAATAGGTGGCACTCAGCATCCTCCTGGGAGGAGGGCTAAAGGCACGGGGAGATGATGGCAAAAATCTGAAGTCTGAGCTTGGCCTTTGGAACAAGGTTGCCTTCCAGTGTGGGACCTCCCTGCAGGTCTCTTAAGGCATGTGTTTCTCTGTATTTATACCTGCTTGTCTATTTCTTCTGCAGGTGGGCACAGGCTTCAGTTTTACTGATGATACCCACGGATATGCAGTCAATGAGGACGACGTAGCACGGGATTTATACAGGTAACATGCTCCCGCTTTCTCTTGGCCTTCTTCAGACCAAACATTTTTCTATCTCAACAGGAAAATTATTCTAGCATTGGAATTATTATTGACTGAGCCTTATAGTCCAATTCCTGAAGATAATTTAAGGATACTTTCACGTCCACACACAGCAGAATTTTTCAATTAAAGATTATTTTTTAAAACTTTCAACCAGACATCTGAAAGGTTTCTGCTTGTTTTCCAAAATTGTATTTAACTTTGCATTTCTGGGGAGACAACATCTTTTCAGATATTTGTTTGTTTCCCAGGATTCTTCTTTTTGTGGCTTTTGGATGCAATTTTTTACTTTCTGCTTCTAGTTCATGACTTGTCCATGCTGAAAACTTAGCTTGTTAGTCTCTAGTATTCTCCCTTCTTCTTGTGAAAGTTTTCTTTTGCTTAAAAAAAAAAAAAAAAAAGGAAAAATGTAAAGTTGTAAGTCTGGCCAAATAGTGTCCATATAATGTCTCCCTTTCTTTATTTACTCATATTAATCAGTGCTATTTTTAGCATTTTAAAAAAAGCAAATGACCTTTCTTATTTGGTCAGATTTTTCCAGTCTACAAATTATTACTAGAGACCAAATCCTTTCTGGTCACTAGGGCACCGCTTTATGCATTATAATAATTTACTAAATTATTATAATAATTTGCTAAAAGAACCCTAGTGGCCAGAAGGAGTTAACTAGCTCCCTACCCCACACCTCCACCAAGCACTCTGTTAATTACTACCAATCCCCAAAGCGAAAGCGCATCTAATAGGAGTCAGAGTTCGCTGATCTCTGACAAAAGCTTTCCGTTTCACTTTTCTTTCTCTCTAAGGCAGATAGGTGGCTGGAGGGAGAGAAGAAAGAACTACTTCCAAGCCCCTTTCCCAAAGATCTCTCCCTCTACCCACCTAGAAAAGAATATGGCTGTTGTCTTCTCCACTTTTGTTTTTCACATGTTCCATGATTCAATCACTTCTATTCAGTGTCTAGGGGGATGCCCAGGACCCCACACTTCTGCTTCCATGTACAGTGGGGTCCTAGGGACATATTTGCCAAGTTCCTGGTGGGGTGTTCCCCCCAGCACCCCCTCCCCTTCCCTCCACAGACGTGACGGACGGCAGTCCTCCTCACAGGCTTCCTCAGAGCCAGGGCCAGGGCTCTCTTGGCACTGTGTGCTCTCTTTCTTCAGATTAGAGACCTACTCCCCACCCCCACCTCCCATCCCTCTTTGGTTTAAATCCAAACAAGCTCAGTGGTTAACTAGCAAACACCCTGAGGGCAGAGGTTCTGTATTGAAGAGCTGCATCGGCCCCCTCTAAGACAGAGCACCACTGCCAAGCCGTTTCTGTGTGTCCTTCCCCTCCCCCGAAGACTGTTACAGCTTCCAGTTGCCCCTCCATATGGGGATGTCGACTGCTGACATGTGGTCCATCTCCTCTTGCCTGACATGTAAAGGGAACCTATTTCAAAGCATCTATTGTTTATAGCTGTTGTAGTTCTTTTTGCTTCAGGCTCTTAGAACTGGAAAATAGCTAATCAAGGGTAGTGCAGAAAACTGATTTCAGCTGTTTCCTTTATAGTTTACACTCTTCATTTCCCTTTGTGGCCACATTCTTCTCTCCAGCTCTCCAGATGGGTGTTTGCAATAAGAAGGTCGCTTGGAAACCTGCAAACGGGCTACTACAGGTTTAAAGAGTGGAGCTTTCATTTGCTCCCTTTGAAAACCAACTTTCATTTTTCTGAAAATCCCATTCTTTTGGACTATTAATAGTGCATGGCTGTAAGGAGACATTTACCATTCACAGTTTTGCTGCTTTTGTGTTTGGAAATAAAACTTTTTCACGAACAAGATGTTAAAATACTCTCCCTCTTTTCTTATTTGGAATGTGCTATTTAGTCACAATGCCTCTCTGGTTTAAAAAAAA